GAAAGAAAACAAAAATTCTATAATAATGAAAAAAGTACAACGTACAGGGCAAATAATGACGAAAATCAAAGTAAATATAAGCCCCTCCCCCAATCTGCATGTTATCGATGTGGAGGACTACACCGGAATAAGGATTGTCGTTTTAAATATAAAAACTGTCTTGCATGTGGAAAAATGGGTCACAAGGTATCCCAATGTAGGAACAGAAAATTTACTAGTATGATAAGAGCTACTAGAATGCATGACGAAGACAATACTAACATAAGGAAATATGTGGAACTGGAAATCTTAAAGAAAAAGATAAAATTACAACTTGACACAGGTTCAGATCTGACGATAATTAACCTACAAACATGGAGAAAATTGCTAAGTCTGTTACAGGAAAGCGTATAAAATTCGGAGAAGTAATCTTAAATGTAAAATTTCACGGGAAAACAAAAAAAAACTCAAAATATTCGTAATGAAAGATACAGAAAATCTGTTGGGCACAGACTGGATGCAGAAGTTCGACGTATGGGATTTACCTATCAGCTCTTTTTGTCAAAAGATAAAGTGCGAATCATCAGAAGTTATAAAACTAAAGGGAGAATTACATAATTAATTTCCAGAAGTATTTTCGAGTGGGTTGGGTCGGTGTAACAAATTTACAGCTAGAATTGAATTAAAAGAAAACGTTCAACCAGTATTTAAAAAGAAGAGAAACGTACCGTTTGCCACTATAGAAAAAATCGACAAAGAATTAGAGGGACTTGAACAAACTGGGATCCTGTCAAAAATAGAGTTTAGTGAATGTGCGGCACCAGTTGTCTATGTAAAAAAAAAAATCAGGGGAAATCCGTGTATGCGCAGATTTCTCAAAGGGGTTAAACAAGGCTATAAAAGACCATCATTACCCATTACCAAACCAGGAGAAAATATTCACCAAGATTAACGGCGGTAAGATATTTTCCAAGATAGATTTAAGTGAGGCTTATCTGCAGATCCCAGTACAAGAAGAGAGTACGAAAATTCTATGCATTAACACGTACAAAGGGCTGTACAAATTCAACAGACTACCATTTGGGGTAAAAGTTGCACCGGCAATTTTTCAGCAAACGATGGATACAATGATCACGGGCCAGAATTTTGCGACCGTGTACTTGGACGACATACTAATTAAAAGCGATAGTGTTGAAGAGAATGCATCGCACATAAAGGAAGTTTTCAAAAGACTTCAGGACTTTGGTTTTAAAGTAAAAGGAAAAAAAATGTGATTTTTTTCTTAAATGAAATCAAATGCTTAGGGCATATAATTAATGAAAGTGGTAGAAAACTGGATCCAGACAGGACATTCGCAATAAAAAAAAAATATGCCTGAACCAAAAAATGTCGCTGAATTACAAAGTTTTCTTGGCCTAGCAAATTACTACAGCAAATTCATCGAAAATATTCCCAGATTGAGAGGCCCCCTCAACGAATTACTAAAAAAAAAAAAGAGAATAAATGGAATTGGACAAAAGAACGTCAGAAAATGTTTAAGGAGATAATACAACAATTAATGTCGGAACTGGCACTAACTCATTTCGATCCAAAACTAGAAATTATTATCGCGAGTGACGCGAGTGACGCGAGCTCTCACGGAGTAAGGAGCTTGCATTCTACACAAGATGTGTGATGGCACAAAGAAATCCATAGCTCACGCATCGAGATCATTATTACCTGCGGAGAGGAACTACTCGCAGATTGAAAAGGAAGCACTAGGCATTATATTCGCCATAACTCGGCTTCAAACGGACCACAAACCTCTTCTTACGATTTTTTGGATCAGGCAAAAGACTACCAATCTATACAGCAAACAGACTCCTAAGATGGGGAACTATGTTACTGAACTACAATTTCGAACTTGAGTTCTTACCATCGAAGAAAATTGGGCACGCTGATGGATTATCGCGATTAATACCTGCAAAATGCGAACCGCTGGAAGATTCAGTATTAGCGGCGTTGCAAACCGAAGATGAAATCAGTAAAGTGTTATGCAACACAGTAAAGGAACTACCTGTGACCCTGCTAGAGATAAGAAGGGAAGCGGAAAAGGATGAATTTATTCAGAATACCAAGAAAAAAATAGAAGAAAAGGAAAGGAATTTAGCAGACAACTTCGCAATTTATGACCACATATTGTTATATAACGAAAGAGTAGTGATATCAAAATCGTTACAAAGGCGGATTTTGAAGGATTTTCACTTAGGACATCCAAGAAAAAACCGGATGAAAGCACTTATGAGAAGTTTCGTCTACTGGCCTAACATGGACTATGATTTTACGCAAATGGTGGAAAGATGTCAAGGCTGTGCTGCTGCGGCAAAAGCACCACCTTCTATACAGAAACCATGGCCTAAAGTGGACAGACCTTTGTCCAGAATACATGTGGATTATGCGGGACCCATAGAGGGTTACTACTACTTAATAACAGTAGATAGTTTCAGGAAATGACCAGTCTTCAGATTCAAACACCCGACGGCGGAGAATACTATAAACTGCCTACATGAATTATTCGCGAGATTCGGTGTCGTGGATTGCTTGGTAACTGATAACGGCACACAATTTACCTCCAGTGATTTTAAAGAATTCTGTGAGACGTACCAAGTAAAGCACATTAAGATAGCTCCCTATCACCCACGGTCTAACGGGCAGGCTGAAAGATTCGTAGACACACTAAAGAGAGCTCTTAAAAAAAGCAGGGGTGTACCGACAGAAAAAGCTATTTAACAGTTTCTTCAAGTATACAGAATAACACCTAACGGGAATACACCATCTGGTCTTTCGCCAGCGGAAGTGATGTTTGCCCGGAAAATACGGTCTGTGTTTGATAAGTTATTGCCTAACAAGAATAAATACCAGCATAAACCTATAGTACCCAAGAGATCATTTAAATCAAGGGAACGGGTTTTAGTTTAGGATGTTCAGGAACAATATGGCTTACTGGGAGCCTGGCACAATAATTAACCGACTATAAAAAGTGATGTACACAGTACAAGGCGGCAAGTTTACCCACAGAAGACATATTGACCAAATACAAAAAAGATGGGTTGAGGAGCCAAGCTCGTCACCCGCTGAAAATGACCATTCAATGGATGCAATCTTTGAAGCTTTTGAGATTCAAAGACCCCAGGAAGAGACAGAAACTAGAAGGTCAAACAGGAAGAGAAAATTTAAAAGAAGAACCTCTGATTATGGGCCATAGGAGAAAAAAATACTAACTTCACCCCCAAAAGGGATCTAAGGAAGGGGGTGTTGAGGGGTCCTCCCCTTTTTACACAAATGGACTCACCCAGTATATACATATACTACGGCTACGTGAAGACCCGAGAGAGCAAGACCTCCGAGTCTAGCTGTCGTGATACAGTCTTTGACTGTAAGCGACGACTGTCAAACTCTCTGCATTAGCAGAGAGGAACCCGGACGAAGCTTTGCCGAAGGGAAAGGTTTCGTCCGGGGAGGTAGACAGGGCCTGAATCCGTCAAGGCGGTTCTAAAAAGGCTATATTTTTGGCCGAGCCTACGGGATCGGGGGTACCCACACTAAACCGGCCTTGTGCCATATTCAATCCTTGTGGGTGGGTTGATAAATAGCGAGCAAGACCGAAGAGTCGAGTCCTTAGCGACAGAGTAAAAGGTTGTAGGTAACCGGAAGAGTGAGGGGTGAGGTAACAGCGTTGTAGGAGTCACCGTGAGCGAGTACGTAGATTCAGTAAGAAGTCATACAGCGATACTTCAATACCAAAGACTATATATATATATTTTGCTACTAACCCGTATTCCTGGAACTACTAACCTGCATTATCAGTTTGTATTATTACGTTCATACATTATTTTCATATATTCATTCCTGGCGTTTGTTATTTATTGGTACCGGATTTCAACACGGAATCCACAACATTTTCTTAGTTCAGAATACAAATAAAAATTAGTCCCGCTCATTTTCTTCTATAAATCAAGAAATAAATTGAACGTATACCGACATATCGTATCTTAATTTAGTACATCGAGTCACATTCCCATTCAAACTATTTTATAGAAACTTTTCTTGTTTCTTAATTCAGAATACAAATAGATATTAGTCCCACTCATTTTCTTCTAGAGATCCGGAAACAAATTCAACGTACACAGACATATTGTATCTTAATCCAGAAAATCTGTAACATTCTCTATCTCTACAGTTCTAGAATCAAATCGAACACAGCTTCGTTTACTGTCATTTAGGTTCAAGGAAATTATTTGACCCTTAAATGCTAATCTATGAAACAGATTCTTCCCGCTAACCACTGCCTTGTTAAACCGACTCCCAATAGGTTGCTTCCCTGATCACTAAAATCTTCACCTGCTCATGGCAAGGGTTAACCTTTATCTTCCACACATATCCGCCATCCGTCTTACTCGCTAACACTCTAAGTCTTGTACAGGGTGAACACCAGTGTAAAAACAAAACAAGAAATTAAAAAATAAAAATTAAAAGTCTTCCCGTAAAATCTTTCATTTTTAAAATCTCCTAGTTCACCGGGTCAATCTCTTCCATCTCTTTTCGTTAGAAATGTCCAGGTGGGTGGCGGTAGAAACACACACATTCCTTTTCATTATCGTTAGCATATTTTCTTCTTATAACGTTAATCTTCTCATAATAATCTTTTGTGTTCATCGAAAGAACGCTGGCTTGAAAAAAATTTAAAAATGGAGTCTTGTCTCTTTGAAGTGTGCTTGACACTGTAACTAAAAAACACGTTGAAATTATGAGGATTACGACCGTGTCACGTTGAAACAGGATCACCGAAGCTAAGCAACGTCGAGTCTTGTCAGTATGCTTCACCGCTTGGGCATGTGAGGGTGATATTACGGCCATATCAGTTGGAAACTCCGTACGATCAACGATATTAAGCAACGTTTGATCAGTGTGGTTGACCGCTTGAAAATTACAACCACCTGTTGTAAGCTTGGCTGTGTGGGTGATATAATGAGCTTACGGTCACGTTGAAATACCGATTCCCGTAGGATCAGCGAAGTTAAGCAACGTCAAGCCCGGTCAGTACTTTGATGAGTGACCGCTTGGGAATGCCAAATGCTGTAAACTTGAAAGTGTGGTTGGTATAATGACCTTACGGCCATATCATGTTTAAACACCGGTTCGGGAACGAACACCCGAGTTAAGCAACGTCGAGCCTGTTCAGTTATTTGATGTTGGAAATCGGAGTGTCGAGCTCCAGTTCAGGTCGGGTTCGTTATGTTAACTTACGAGCAAATACGGCGAAAATAATTATCACTCACCCACTCCCAAAAAATCCTTTAATCCAGAAATATTTTTTCTGGCTTTAAATAACGTAATGGGTTGATAAGCCGTGAGCAATATAACCAAACTAATAACCCGAATTCTGATGAACAGAGCATGAAACAGAAATAGACCATGGAAACCATGGAAAGTGCTCAGACGAATTGTTCCACCAGGTCTGACATTTGCGGCTAGCCCCTCTCCAACTTATATAGTAGCAAACCACCCCACATTCTCTCCGTATCCGACGAGAAGTAAGTTCCACTGAAACAGCTTCTTCTCGTGAACCACTGCCCTATATGATAGATAGATAGATAGATAGATAGATAGATAGATAGATAGATAGATAGATAGATAGATAGATAATGAAATGTCAATGATAGATAGATAGATAGATAGATAGATAGATAGATAGATATTGAATAAACTAAGATAGATAGATAGATAGATAGATAGATAGATAGATAGATAGATAGATAGATAGATAGATATTGAATAAACTAAGATAGATAGTTAGATAGATAAATAGATAGATATTGAATAAACTAAGATAGATAGATAGATAGATAGATAGATAGATATTGAATAAATTTAGATAGATAGATAGATAGATAGATAGATAGATAGATAGATAGATATTGAATAAACTCAGATAGATAGATAGATAGATAGATAGATAGATAGATAGATAGATAGATCCGCCATCCAACTTATATAGTCTCCGTATTCGACGAGAAATAAGTTCCACTGAAACAGCTTCTTCCCGTGAACCACTGCCCTATGGAACAGACTCCCAAGAGGATGTTTCCCCGATCACTACAATCTTAACTTGTTCAAGTCTAGAGTCAACTGTTATCTTCACCTATCCCTATAAACGTAGGTGACCCCCGGGCCTTGTACAGGGTGAACCTTACTGTAAAAAAAAAAAAAAAAAATGAAATTGGATCAAAAAAGTGTGGCATTTTTCAAGGACAATGGAACAAGAAATGCTACATTTATGATCAGAATGATATTGAATAGGACAGTGTCAATGCAGAACGATGCACACTTCTCTTTTATATATTACACAAAAGCATCTGATACCATTGATAGCGTCAGATAGCAAAAGATATCTATTTGAAATGCCAGGAAAACTACATCTATTTGGGTAGGATGTTGAAAGGATCCAGAACTTATACTCGTAGCAAAAACACCTTCATATGAACAGGAAGAATGAATTGAGTACCCAAAAGCTAAAAATAATCCAGAAAATATTTTATTTCTGGCTTTAAATAACGTAATGGGTTGATAAGCCGTGAAAAAAAAATCAATCAATCAATCTGTGTTGAAGTGAGTTTTGCCTTCAGCGTCAGTCGTTTATCTCTTATATCAAGGTCGGGATTGTTCGGGACGCCCACGTTGATACTTAAAATGTGGCACAAGGCATCTTTGAAGTGGTTTAACGTCAGTACCGCAGAAAAATTCTCAGTCCGCCTCGACACTTCCCCATTTTGGGGACGACTCAGCTCAGGGATTGGGACAATGGAATCTACAGAGAATAACTCCAGAGACTTAGCCTTAAAAAAAAATAGACAACTTGTAAGAACACTAGATAAACTGAATAAGAAATTTACAAAACAAGTCAGATAGATAGATAGATAGATAGATAGATAGATAGATAGATATTGAATAAACTAAGATAGATAGATATTGAATAAACTTAGATAGATAGATAGATAGATAGATAGATAGATAGATAGATAGATAGATAGATAGATATTGAATAAATCAAGATAGATAGATAGATATTGAATAAATCAAGATAGATAGATAGATAGATAGATAGATAGATATTGAATAAATCAAGATAGATAGATAGATAGATAGATAGATAGATAGATAGATAGATAGATAGATAGATAGATATTGAATAAACTAAGATAGATAGATAGATAGATAGATAGATAGATAGATAGATAGATAGATAGATAGATATTGAATAAACTTAGATAGATAGATAGATAGATAGATAGATAGATATTGAATAAATCAAGATAGATAGATAGATAGATAGATAGATAGATAGATAGATAGATAGATAGATATTGAATAAACCAAGATAGATAGATAGATAGATAGATAGATAGATAGATAGATAGATAGATAGATAGATTTTAATGCACGATAAAAAGGGAATTATGAAAAGACGAAATGAGCGAGAAAAAGAGAGAAAGTAGAAGACAAAGGACAAGAAAGAGAGCGACAATTACGAACAAACGGCGGGAAAAAATATATTGTTCGCTTTTAACACAAAACCTCAAACTAAAAACCATTGCTAACAAGCGCGCTGGGTCCGATATCTTATTTATTAGCTTCTCCCGTCCACCGCCGCCCGCCACAACCTTTCCATCACCACCACCACCTCCACCGCCGCTAAGTGCGGGCCCCCTTTGTCATCACCACCCAACACCTCCCTCTCCAATTTTCTCCGAAAGCACACTGATTGCCCGGCACGGGACAGGTCAAGGGTCAAGTGGAAACGATGACCAATTACAATTCATCGCCGCTGCTATTTGGCGGCATCGGGTAGTGGGTGACGAGGCGGGCGGCTTGTGTCTTGTGTTGGGAGCGCGGCAAACGAAACGACGAGAAAGGCGGGTGAATAATGAGACCGTGGTAAGGGCGGTAGTTGAGGACAAGTAACCGCTACATTGTTTGGTTTTTCTTTCGTTCTTTTTTTTTTTTTTTTTTTTAAATAGCAGAGGCAGTTGTCTGTGGAATCTTCGGAAGCATGGGAGAAGGGAATAAAGAAAGGAAGATGTGAGACGATTTGGAGAGAGTCGGGATTCAATGAAACGCTGAAATAGACGCTGGGGCGGGGTGGGGGTTCGTGCGGGAGACGGGAAAAAGCAATCGAATGGAAAAACTGGATGTACGGGAAAAGAAAGAACGAAAGAAAATATTTTTAAAGTGGTAAGAATGAAAATGTCGTTAATTTGAATAAAGAAAAAAGAAAAAGAAAAAGTAAAGGAGAAAGAGTGTTTTGAATGGAGAAAGAAAGGCAGTCAAAGATTATTAAAAAAAAAATAACGAATACGAGAAGGAAAGAAAGAAAGAAAGAAAGAAAGAAAGAATGAATGAAAGAAAGAAAGAAAGAAAGAAGTAAATATTTTAAATGGTTAAGAAAGTGTTGTTAATTTGAATAAAAAAAGAAAAAGAAAGTCTGTTTTGAATGGTGAAAGAAAGGAAGTCAGGGATTAATTTGGATGAAGAATAAGAAAGAAAGAAAGAAAGAAAGAAAGAAAGAAAGAAAGAAAGAAAGAAGGAAACGGAAGCATATAAAATGCTAAGAAGGGAAGACGAAAGGTCGCTAAAAGGAAAAAAAAATAAAGAAGACGAAGGAGGGAAAAGAAAGAAAGAAAGAAAGAAAGAAAGAAAGAAAGAAAGAAAGAAAGAAAGAAAGAAACGGAAGCATATAAAATGCTAAGAAGGGAAGACGAAAGGTCGCTAAAGGAAAAAAAACAAATAAAGAAGACGAAGGGAGGGAAAAGAAAGAAAGAAAGAAAGAAAGAAAGAAAGAAAGAAAGAAAGAAAGAAAGAAAGAAAGAAAGAAAGAAAGAAGATAGGGTAGCATATAAAATGCTAAGAAGGGAAGACGAAAGGTCGCTAAAGGAAAAAAAACAAAAAAAGAAGACGGAGGGAGGGAAAAAAAAGAAAGAAAGAAAAAAAAAGAAAGAAAAAGAAAGAAAGCAAAAGGAAAAGAAAGAAAGAAAAGAAAGGAAAAAAGAAAGAAAGAAAAAAGAAAAACAAACAAAAGAAAGAAAGAAAGAAAGAAAGGGAAGCATATAAAATGCTAAGAAGGGAAGACGAAAGGTTGCTAAAGGAAAAAAAAATAAAAAGAAAAAGGGAAAATAAAAGAAAGAAAGAAGGGAGGGAGGAAGCATATATAAAAGAAAAAAAAAGAAAGAAAAGAAAGGAACAAACAAATAAAAGAAAGAAAGAAAAAAGAAAAAGAAAGAAAGAAAGAAAGAAAGGGAAGCATATAAAATGCTAAGAAGGAAGACGAAAGGTCGCAAAAGGAACAAACAAATAAAGAAGACGAAGGAGGGAAAACATAATGCAAGAAAGAAAGAAAGAAAGAAAGAAAGAAAGAAAGAAAGAAAGAAAAGATAGTTAATATTTTGAATAGAGACGCAATATACTCAAAAGAAAGAAGGCAAGACTATTTTACATCGAGAGAAGTTTTGAAGAGTGAAATAGGAAGAAAATAAAAATCGAAATGTCGTGGAAATCGATAGCTGCGAAGATATGAGTAAAGATTAATTTTTGGAAGAGGGCCCCACTGGTGAGCCGGGACGTTCGGTTGGCTGATACGGGGTTTTGGAAAGCGGCGGAGGTACTGGATTGCGCTGGACTACCATAATCGCCGGCTTCCATCATACGTAAGCTCGTGACTCAACCCTCAACTTTTTCCCCCGATTCTACCCACCCAGTCGTCACTCGTTACTCACCGAACTTATGAGCCCATACCGCTACTGTGCCAATAAATATTTATCCCTACGATCTGTTCCGTTATTCAATGTAACTTCCTCGATAAAGTTTGAAACGCGTCGGCCCATAATTTATTGTTCTTAGGACGCATTTTGGCAGAACGCTCCATAAACTATGCCTTGTGGCAAACTTGAATTATTACACACCACTTAACTTGCAACATCTTAAATACATTTTTGTTTTTTATTTCTGTTTCTCTGTCAGTTATCTATACCTCTCACTCTCTTCACTCCCCACTACATCTCTTCTGCTGTCTCTCTCACTCTCTCTTCCCCTCCCTCTCTCTCCCCTCCTCCTCCTCTCTCTTTCTACTTCCTTCTCCACTCTGCTTCTCTCTCTCTCTCTCTCATTACGTCTTTTTTCATTCTCCCTCCCTCTCTCTCTGTACCTTCTCTTTGTCCTCTTTTTGCCATTCTGTTTCTGAACTTTTGCACTTTTTTCAACTCCATTGGCTTCTCCAACTGCTTCCCTTTCTCTACCTCTCCCCATATTCTCTTCCCCCTCTCTCTCTATCTCTCTCTCTCTCTTCCACTCTGTCTGTATCACTCTAAACTTCACCCCCCTCTCTCTCTCTCTCTCTCTCTCTCTCTCTCTCTCTCTCTCTCTGCTACTAAGCCTCCTTCGCTCTTAATCTGTCCTTCTCTTTCTCTGTTCCACATTTTTGCCACTCCGTTTCTCTCTCACTCTTACTCATACTCACCCCGTCTCCCTCTATTTAACTCTCTCTCTCTCTCTCTCTCTCTCTCTCTCTCTCTCTCTCTCTCTCTCTCTCTCTCTTTTGTCCTCCTCTCTTGGTCCTACATTTTTTTGACACGCTGTTTCAATTTTATACTCCGCATTTTTCGGGCCCGACCCCAATCTGCCTCCCCCTCTCAAATTTACTCTCTTTCACTGTCTTTTCCTCTCTCTCTCTCTCTCTCTCTCTCTCTCTCTCTCTCTCTCTCTCTCTCTCTCTCTCTCTCTATTTTACTCTCCTCCTCTCTGCGTTCCACGTCTTGGTCTCACTTTCACTCTCTCTGTTTTTTCCTTTCCTTCACGCTCTCTCGAGCCACTCTTTGCCACCATCACTCGTGCGCTTACTATCTACCCTCTCTCTCTCTCTCTCTCTCTCTTCATACTTTGCCTCCCTCTCTCTCTCTCTCTCTCTCTCTCTCTCTCTCTCGCCGGATCGCTAGCTTTCAATCGCCCTCTCTCTCGGCCCCGCCTCTATTTGCTACTCTCTCTCTCTCACTTTTTTTCTCTCCCTTCCCCACTCACTCTTTCTTCCTCTGAACTCTTTCTACTCTCTCCTCTACACCCTCTCTTTCTGTCAGTCTCTCTCTTCCAATCACTTCTGGTACGTTAAATACAGTATCTGGAAAAAACATTGATTTCTCAAAAAATTATTAATGCACTATTTACTCGCAGAAAAAAAAATTAAAAAAAAAAAAAAAAAGAATTATCCTTACAAACAAAAATATGATTCGGCTTTGAAAAGCCAAAAAGGGTTGATAAGTCGTAAAAAAACCCAAATTTTTTAATCTCAATAGTAGGTACCTCCAAAGATCTGAAAAAAGTAAATGAGTATACCATGATGAAAAAAAAAAAAACTCGAAACTTAATAAAACAAAGTTTTATCGTCAAAATCTTTTCAGTTATTATTTAGAAGACGATTTTTGTATACAGTGTAACCCGGATATAAGAGAGTTGTCGGGACCGGAGAAGAAGTCTCTTATATCCGGATTTCTCTTATATCCGGGTTTGGTCTATTTTGTTTACATTAACACAGGCTGTAATTTGGGACCAGAGAAAATCTCTCTTATATCCGGATTTCTCTTATATCCGGGTTACACTGTATGTAAAAATTCAAACCTTTTTAAAAGAATTAAAAAAATCCTTTTTAGAAGGTTTGAATTTTTTTTTTTTTTTTTACAAAATCTTGTTTCTTTGGCGTCAACAGGAAACCATAAATTAGTATGGAAAATCTAAGCGTCTTTTTGCGATGAAAAACACACAGATTTTTGACATTCTTGAAAAGAAAACGATAATAATTGTGGAATTTTAATGAAACTTTCAGTGCTTATTCACAAATTATTAACAAATTTTTAAAACACATCTTTTTTAGAAAATCTTGAAATTTTTTTTTTATATTTGTTATTCTCACTTATTTAATTTTATGAAATTTCGAGAAATTATTTTTGTAGCGTTTATATTTCTTATAAAAAACAAGTTCAAGAAAAATTTAAATCATCATTTTTTATCTTTTTTATTTTTATTTATTTATTTTATTTTATTTTTGACAAACAGGGCCCCTAATTACATAAAATATGTTCTGAATCGTAAAATAAAAATAATTCAATTAGAAATGCTTTTAATTTCTTATATGAATAATATATATTATGGACATTATCGTCTTAAGAAAAAAAATCGATGAATAATGAATCTGTTACGTTATTCCTTGTTGTGGAAGAACGGTTGAATAATGGATATCGGATAATCGGAGAGCCGAGTTCGAATTCCAGTCGAATCCATTACATTCACTTACTTGCGAATACCCTTGGGAATGGTATGAATCCTCCTCTTCTCCCCCCAGCTATGGGTAAATAGCAGGACAGACCGGGTTCTATAGCCTTGGATGGCAACTGGTCTACCACAGAAAGAAATGGCAACCTACAGCGGGGAAAAAATCTGCCTCGTCAGTCATGTATCGAAAGATACACGATCGCCTAAGCGTGTTTCACGTATGGCACATAACTGACTGACTGACCCTTGGGAAAGGTATGAATCCTCTTATTCTTTCCCCAGCTATGGGTAAATATCAGGACAGACCGGGTTCTATAGACTTGGATGGCAACTGGTCAACCGCAGAAAGAAATGGCAACCTACTGCGGGAAAATCTGCCTCGCCAGTCATGTATAAAAAGATACATGATCGCCTAAGCGTGTATCACTCATGGTACATAACTGACTGACTGACCCTTGGGAAAGGTATGAATCCTCTTCTTCTCCCCCCAGCTATGGGTAAATAGCAGGGCAGACCGGGTTCTATAGCCTTGGATGGCAACTGGTCTACAGCAGAAAGAAATGGCAACCTACAAAAAAAAAAATCTGCATCTTCTGTCATGTATCGAAAGATATATGATCGCCTAAGCGTGTATCACATATGGCACATAACTGACTGACTGGCCCTTTGGAAAGGTATAAATCCTCTTCTTTTCCCACCAGCAATGGGTAAGTAGTGGGAAAGAAAGAGTTCTATAGCCTTGGATGGCAACTGGTCTACCGCAGAAAGAAATGGCAGCGGGGGAAAAAATCTACCTCGTTATTCATGTATCAAGAGATCTCCTAAGCGTGTATCATGTATGGCACATAACTGACTGACAATTCCATGCAATGTTTCATTTTTTTTTATTACAATAATTTATAAAGTTTTAAATCTTTTAAAGTTTTGTATTATTAGTAGGGGCTAGTTGACATTGTTATTAAGTAAAAATTATATTTACTAATCATAAATGAAAAAAAAAACTTACTACAATTCAAAGACCTCCAGTATTTTAAAAAGAATTTTGAATTTTTTTCTATGTGGAAACGTGCCGATTTTTGTAAATACGGTCGTCCATACGCGACATTATCAAAAAATAAGAGCGGTAACTACTTATATAATTATAATTAATTGGTAATTTTCTAACATTTCTTCAACAAGCGTCTTCGTAAGACTATAGAGACAAAGTACCTAAAATTCAATAAAATATTAACTAAATAATTAATTTTTTACGTTGTATTCGTTATGTAGTTTTACTTCAATTACCCCCCTTATATAAAACTATCAACAGATCTGTGAACACTTCATGAAAAACGTCCATTTCAATGTCAACAAATGTTTATGCGATATTTTAACGTGCAGTCGCTTCCCTCTGTCTTTTCTACAAATACTTTCACGGTAACTGCTCCGACGAGCCACTTTCGCTAGTTCCTAAACTGCATGAATTTAAGCGTGGTACTAGGCTGTCATCACGGTCCCACCCTTTCAACGTTGGAACGGTTAAGTGTGGCCGTCTCTTCTACTCCAATAGCTTCATGTCTCGCACTTCCCATCAGTGGAACTTCCTTCCTCTTACTTGCTTCCCTGATAGCTATAATCTTCAAATAGTCAAAGGCAGTGTCAATCGACATCTATTGATGCCTTGATCCTCAATCCCCGTCTTTCTCTATGTCCTTTCCCTCTTTACACCCCTCTTTACTCTTGCTCTCACTGTCTGTAATCCCTTGCGTGCTAGTGGCACCGCCGCCTTCGGGTAAAATGCTTAATATATATATATATATATATTAAGTTTCACGAAAGATTTTTCATTTTTAAAATTCATATTAAATCTTAGGTATCGCGTTTCTGCAGAGGTATATATAAAACACTAATATATTAACTGCATCCACTTGTAAAAAAAGACTAAAAATAATGGAAGCTCTAATAATAAAAAAGAAAAAGCCAACTCTTAACAATATCAACTATGAACAAAGCCACAATGTGCTAACCGTATTCGGAAACTAAAACATCACTACCACACACTGAACATACATAGAACACACACTCTACTAAGCTGATAATTGAACCATCCTTGATAATGGCTAAAGGTATAGCCGAAAGCGCTCGGAAACACAGAACATTCGGACAGTTCTTACACACTCTTTGTCCAGAAAAGAAAGCTCTTGTCAGAACACAAGAAAAATTAAATAAAAAGCTCAACTGTAGTACCTTGTCTGTCGTTTTTAATGAAACATGCATAAAGGAAGGATTGCTGCCTAAATATACAAATATATATATATATATATATATATATATAAAAGAAAGAACAGTAAGATATATAATCTGGGTTCTTATAGATATTTTTATTTTTACAAAAGAGTGCTCAATGTAAATTTACAGAGCATTAATATTATAAATTAATTGATTTAAAATATGGTTTTTCCGCTACACAGTTCTAACCATGTTTCAAAAATGGAAGCTAAAAGCTTCGAATTTAATTTTCTAAAGAAATTAAAAACATTAGTTGTAATTCATCCTCAAGCGAATTTTGGAGTAACTTTCAAAATTACTGGGTTTTAAAAGCACAGCAAGAAATCATAATTCACGTTTCCAAGGATACAGAGAAATACGCTATATTTTGATGTATCAGTTATTAGTATTTTGGTAGGGGGTAGGGATGTATTTTTCAATGAATTCTGACATCCGTTAAATGTATATCATCTGGATTATGTAACTGTAGAAACCCAAAATTCGCTTGAGGATGAAATGGAACTAATATCTTGAATTTAATTACAAAATTAAATTCGAAGCTTTGGATTTAGCTTACATTTTTTAAATATGTTTAGAACTGTGTAGCGTTAAAAACCATATTTTAAATCAATTAATTTATAATATATATATATATATATATATATATATATATATATAAGAACAGGCGATCCTTAAAAATCCCTTCAGTTATAATTTATTTCATGAATATATTCAAATATTCAGCTTTTCAGTCCGAAGTTTTTTTTATTAAAATTTTTAATAAAAAAACATCTGTGCTTATTATTATTATTATTATTATTAAATTGTTCTGTTACTTACATTGAACTCTCATTGAATTAATGTCTACTTAAAGTTATCCTTACCAATTATCAATTGATAATATATATATATATATATATATATATATATATATATATATATATATATATATATATATATATATACAAGGTGTCAAATGGAAAAAAATCTTAGTTTTTTTCGATGTGTTTCCTCTTCCGACTTTTTCAAGGCAAAAAATGAAAAAAAAGATCGAAAATGTCGGAAGACGAAAACGCGAATAAAAACACAAATAATTTTTTTTTTTTTTTACAATTGTCATTTTTTTAAAATTTTTCTTCTCCACAGAATCTATCTGTGAATTTATATATATATATATATATATATATATATATATATATATATATATATATATATATATATATTATTATTATTATTATTATTATTATTATTATTATTATTAATTATTAAATAGTCACCCTCTGATAATGGTATTATTACCCGTTGCCTTATAACTCATGCTAAAATGCCTTTAAGCTGTAAGATAATTTTCGTCACCTGATGGTAAAAATATGCATTCCATCCACTGAATTATCAAAAAATAACCGCGGTAACTAGTAAAATTAAATCCAAAATACCTAAAATGCAATTAGACATTAGGTTTTACCTAGGATATTTTCCTAATATTTTTAAGATTATTGGATAGTTAATATATATATATATATATATATATATATATATATATATATATATATATATATATATATATATAACGGCGCTCACGCTATATTCGTCAAATAAATTTTACAGATATATGTCCCCGTAAAAAAAAAAAATTCCAAACATAAAACTAACGAGATAGTTGTCAACACCTTATTAAAAACACCTACCACAGTGTTAAAAATTGCATTTCTGCAATATATTAGACTAAAAGAAAGTAATATTTGTTTTTAATTCGGATTGATTAAACTTTAAATCAATTAATCTCCATCAAATAAAGTTTCAGGAAAGTACCTTTTATTTTTTTATTTTTTTAATAGAAAGAATTACAATGTGCTGAAAGATTTATAAATGTGCCTAAAATCAGCTATTTTTTAGCGATTTCAAGAAAAAATTCTTATTCCAATTAATATTTCGTTTCGAAATACATCAAATTAGTATTTTGTCAAATAATAAATTTAATCTCTTAGCTAAAATGAAAGTTTCAAGACAAAATTTCATTTTTAAAAATTCATTTCAAAACTTAGCTAACGCGTTTCTCTGGAGGTAAATCTCTGTCTTCATTTTTCTCACCCTCTCCCGCTCTCCATCTCTCTCTCTCTCTCTCTCTCTATATATATATATATATATATATATATATATATATATATATATATATATATATAAAAATTGAACATTGAAGTCAACACTCAGAGATAACAAACTGTTTCATACTAAACGCAATCACCAGGCCACATGCGTTGTGTTTTTTTCTCGACTATACTGGTCATATACGGTTATTATATTATTATTAACCATTAAAATAGACTACCCACAATGCACCACTGACCCGTATATATAAATAGTCGAGAAAAAACACAACGCATATGGCCTGATGAATGCGTTTAGCATGAAACAGTCTGTCGCCTCTGAGTGTTGATTTCAATGTCTACTTTTATATTTACATACGCTCTGTCTCTGCTATTGAGCACTTTATCCCATAAATATAGCAGACCTTAAAACTATATTTCTTCATAAATATGTGTGTGTGTGTGTGTGTGTGTGTGTGTGTGTGTGTGTGTGTGTGTCTGTCTGTCTGTCTGTCTGTCGAGGTTCTTGCCATAATCCAAAGAAGCATCTGTAATGTAATCGATCATGATTTGGCATCTCGACTTCAGTCACTTTCTAAACAGACTTGATGTGGCATCCCTCTGTCTTTTCTACAAATATTTTCATGGAAACTGCTCTGAGAAGTCTCTCTCTCTCTCTCTCTCTCTCTCTCTCTCTGGCACCCAGACTACATGAATTTAAGCGTGCTACTAGACTGGCATCTAGGTCTCACCCTTTTACTGTTGAAATAGTTAGATGTAACCGCCACTTCTACTCCAACAGCTTCTTTTCTCGCACTTCCCGCCTGTGGAACTCGTTTCCGTTTCCTTACTTCCATGACAACTACTATCTTCAAAAATTTAAATGCAACATCCATCGGCCATCTTCTATCTTTTTGAATCCCGTTCATCTTTTATCCTTTCCTCACCCCCCCCATAACCAGTCTTTTCCCTAATTTTCACTCTCTGTAACCCACTGCGTATTAGTGGTATTTAAATCTGTTTTTAAAAAATTAAAAAAAAAAAAAAAAAAAATATATATATATATATATATATATATATATATATATATATATTAATATAAATATGTGTGTGTGTGTGTGTGTGTGTGTGTGTATGTGTGTGGGGATGTTTATAAAAGCAACCAAACAAAAATGAAAAAAATTTATGACGCGCGTGGTAGCAGTGTTTGCGTTCGTCTCTGGTCATCTCCCTAGTATTATGAACGTTTGTTTACAAACAAAGCATCGTAACAGCAATGATTAATTTTACAATAATTATAACAGTGCGCGTTCACGTGTGTCCACAAAAATCAAAATCAGAACGATTACAATCACATGAAGTTTGTCTTTGCAATTCATGAATTTCAACTAAACATCAAGAAAATAATGAGAAAACTAAAAAGGATAATTATAAAAAATAGGCATAATATATCTATATTATTTAATGAAACACGCTTGAAAAAAAAAAAATATATATATATATATATATATATATATATACATTTTAGTAAAGTTAATGATATAAAATGGCGAAATCCCTTCGCTAACAAAATTTCAAAGGTGCATTAAACTAGAAATCACTCGATGAATGTTATGATCCTTGTTTGTAAAAATTATAAGCTGCATAAGGTCTTTCTTAAATATGCGAGTACTTTCGACTGCACATTCAGTCATCTTCAAGCATGGAAATTATTTTGTTTTTGGTAAAATTCAGATAGCATTATATCCTTAACTTTACTAATTTACTTTTTGTATAAATGATTCATTGTAATATGAACTGAACTGCACCACATATTTGATTTAAAAGAACTGATCTGCCGTGCAAATTTTCGGGATAACAACTGAGACATTACTCTATTGAACTATTTAGTTCATACCACATTGACTGATAAACTCCTACAACAAAAAATTATCAAACTGCCATATTAGTAAAAAAAATAAAAAAAAAAATAAAAGGTACTCTCTTAAATTTAAAAAAAAAAAACGTTTGTATCCGTTAACAATAACACATTTCAGAGAAAAAATATTTCGATTCGCATTATATTTTTTCGTCTCGGATGCTACCTGAATTATACCAAAAACAAAATAATGAATGATTAGTAAGTTAATGCACCTTTAAAATTTTGTTAGCGAAGGGATTTCGCAATTTTATATCATTAACTTTCCTAATTTACTTTTTGTATGAATGATTCATAGTAATATTGATTGAACTGCACCACATATTTATATATATATATATATATATATATATATATATATATATATATATATATAGATATAGATATATAGATAGATATAGATAGATAGATAATATTAGTGGTAAATATACACATACATATGCAAAATATATAAATATATATACATACATGCATACACATCCATATATATTTTTTTGAATAAAAAAATTCCAAGAGGATAGAATCCAGGCAGAACTCAATGTCCAGGACAGAGTAAGGATATAATAAAAAGGCTTAAACACTAATATTCCATGGTCATAATTTATTCCATTGGAATCATAATTACAATCCAATTTATCAGACCTACAAATTCAAAAAGAAAACAGTAAAAACAACTCCGGAAATAAAAAAAAATAGAATTTAGAGAGAAAGGGAAAAGAGAAGTCGAAAAAATGCTTGATTATAATACGGATTTTTTTAAAATTTATATTATACTTTATTTTATGTATTTGCGTTACCCGTGTTTCGGGTCTTATCGCCTTCATCAGGCGAAAAAATACTTTTTTTTTTCACATATTAGTTAATGGTTTTCTTATGTTTAACCATTGTGTGCGGTAGTAATCCAAATATATACATGGATTAGTGAGGTCATGAACCGTTAAATGCTCTGTCTAGATCGTCTGAGTTCTTTAATTTATTGCGTATGCAGGTGTTTGTTTTTTTTGGAGGGGGGCGGAGATTTTATCTTTCCTTGGTCAGGCCTTTTTTCTTGTCTGAGTTATCAGGTCATTTTGCAAGTTTTCTATTGTTCAAACGAAGATTATTCTGTAGTTCTTTATATACACACGCACATACACACACACACACACACACACACACACACACACACACACACATATATATATATATATATATATATATATATATAGTCATCCACAGATAGAGTGTTTCGTTGTATCAAAGTTTTTCAATGTGGCTAGACGTCCGATTGCTTCAAGCCAGGATTGAAAGTCGACCGATTTGGCATTCTTTAGAGGTCCTACTCCTAAGCCATCGGCGCCCGGCAGAGAACGGGAAATTTTAGGTTTTTCTATATGAAATACGCCAGCGGCTAAGAGAACTCAATTCGTACTTTAAGATATACATAGAACACACAATATTATTGGGGTATGTAGATTCTTAGTGCTCTGAACTAGTACCCTATAATTATTCAAGATGGAGGATGCATATTGTCTATTTAATTTCGGAGGACGCATATTGTCTATTTAATTTCTCTGACGATAAGTCCGGTAAATGTTGTTAATACTGTTTATTATAGGAGACACGGTGCAGTAATGCTCGGATTGAGGAATTGGAGAGCCGAGTTCGAATTCCAGTCGAATCCATTATATTCACTTACGTGCTAATACCCTTGAAAAAGGTTTGAATCCTCTTCATCTATGGGCAAATAGGACAGACCCGGTTCTATAGCATTGGATGGCAACTGGTCTACTGCAAAAAAGTAATGGCAACCTACTGAGAGAAAAAATATGTCTTGTTAGTTATGTATCGAAAGATACATAATCGCCTGATGGCACATAACTGACTGACTGTTTATTATAAACAGAGCATTTACTTAAATATTTGTGTCTATATAAATAACGTGTAACTATATATATATATATATATATATATATATATATATATATATATATATACCTTTGTGTGTTTCTTACTCTGGAAGAGACACCTGGGCCTTGTACAGGCTGAACAACATTGTAAAAACAGACAGATAGATATAGATTGCATTATATATATATATATATATATATATATATTGTCTATATATATATATATATATATAATACACAAATATTTATTTATATATAGAACGAAACAAATATATATATATATATATATATATATATATATATATATATATATATATATATATATATATATATATATATATATATATGTCTATATATAATTTTATATATATAAGATGCATATATATTTTTCTAATACAGAGATGTGTGTGTGTGTTCATCAATGATATATATGATATATATATATATATATATATATATTCATCTTTCGGTCTCTTCCCCCTTTTCCGCCTCTCCTTTTATCTTTCGTTACCTCTCACTTCTTCTATGTTTGGATGAGGGTAAAATATGTTTAGCACTGGTTGCTGCAACTACGGCAAGTTTGGCGCCAATAGGCGATCAGGAATATTTCATAGGAAACTGGATATTTAATGAGCAGAAAGGAGAGTAAGGACTCTCCTTTTCGGGATGGGAGGAGCGGTAAAACTTTTCTCGATGGACACAAAAGGAAATAAATTCAGAATGAATGTAACAATAAGAAAGAAAGAAAGAAAGAAAGAAAGAAAGAAAGAAAGAAAGAAAGAGCATTTTGAATGGAGAAAAGAAAAAGAAAGACTGAACCTGAAAGAGACAGTATTTTAGAGAAGAAAAATGTAAACGTCAGTATTTTGAATGAAGAATAACTAAAGAAAGACTGAAAAAAAGATATAAAAGAAAGAAAGAAAATGGTTAAAAACTAAAGAGAAAATGATCAAAAAGGACAAGAAAGAAAGAAAGAAAGAAAGAAAGAAAAGGATTAAAAAGGAAAAGAGAGAAAGAAATGTTTAAAAATGTAAAGAAAAAAAGAAAGAAAGAAAATGATTAAAAACTAAAGAGAAAATGAAAAAAAAAGGACAAGAAAGAAAGAAAGAAAGAAAGAAAGAAAGAAGAAAAGAAAGAAAGAAAGAAAGAAAAGGATTAAAAAAAGGAAAAGAGAAAAAGAAATGTTTAAAAATGTAAAGAAAGAAAGAAAGAAAATGATTAAAAACTAAAGAGAAAATGATCAAAAAGGACAAGAAAGAAAGAAAGAAAGAAAGAAAGAAAGAAAGAAAGAAAGAAAGAAAAGGATTAAAAAGGAAAAGAGAGAAAGAAATGTTTAAAATGTAAAAGAAAGAAAGAAAGAAAGAAAGAAAAAGAAAGAAAAAAAAAGAGAAATGAAAAAGGATTAAAGAAAGAAAAGAAAGAAAAGATCAAAAGAAAGAAAGAAAAGAAAGAAAAAAGGAAAAGAGAGAAAGAAATGTTTAAAAAAAAAAAAAGAAAGAAATGTTTAAAAGGAAGAAAGAAAGAAAGAAAGAAAGAAAATGATTAAAAACTAAAGAGAAAATGATCAAAAAGGACAAGAAAGAAAGAAAGAAAGAAAGAAAGAAAGAAAGAAAGAAAAGGATTAAAAAGGAAAAGAGAGAAAGAAATGTTTAAAAATGTAAAGAAAGAAAGAAAGAAAGGAAGGAAGAAAATGAAAGAAAGAAAGAAAGAAAATGATTAAAAAAAAAAAGAAAGATCAAAAGAAAGAAAGAAAGAAAGAAAGAAAGAAAGAAAGAAAAGGATTAAAAAGGAAAAGAGAGAAAGAAATGTTTAAAAATGTAAAGAAAGAAAGAAAGAAAGATAGTCAGAAAGAAAATGATTAAAAAGTAAAGAGAAAATGATCAAATAGGAAAACAAAGGAAGAAAAAAGAAAGAAAGGAAGAAAGAAAGAAAATGATTAAAACAAGAAAAGAAGAGAACAGGGTTAAAAAGGAAAGAAAGAAAATGATTAAGAAAGAAAGAAACTGATTAAAAAATGAAAAGAAAGAAA